GGGGGGGATTTATTATTTTGGTCCCCAACAAAAAATCTTGCCCCTTGTTAGTGTCCCTGAAATAAGTTTTTGTTTTCGTGTTTTTACTGTGGGGAATGAAAAATCACCCCCCGGGGCAGTGCCACTGACTGAAGCGTCTTTAGGCCTTTCCCATAGGGGTGACATTTCTCGTTCTAGTGCACTGTAGAATTGTAAATGGGCTGATCTAACAATGTCATGCTCCTAACTGTGCCTGAACTGCAACAGGGAACTGCTGCTTTTTCTTCTCTTCCCTAATCCTTACTATTGTCATTTTCCTCTACTTCTTTTGTATGTTTGTCACACTCTTGTGACCCGCTATTTCCGGGGTGCCTTGAAAGTCGAAGCAGACTTTGTGCTGCTGAAGCTAGAGAGGTGAGCAGAGTAAGTCTGATTCCCTGTAAGCACTCCTATGTTGACATCCACCCCTTGGCGCTCATATGACCTTATGCAGTTGCAAGCGTCGAAAAAACTCTACTAAAAGTAACTAAAAATGAAAAATTCAAATCATCATTTCTGCTGGGATCTCCAAATGACTTCCCTTATAATGTTATATCATGACAAGGGTTTTTGTATTTTTCATCTTTTTACAGTCTCTGTCAAGGCTACTTTCATCTTTTCAACTCTCTCTGGGGAGGAAGAGAAAAGAACCTGGCCCTTGCACGCAGTAGACCTGAGTTTGACTCCTGAGTGGAAAGAACTATTATTGAGTAGCCTCCTAGATGATCTATATTGTGTCAGTGGGGCGGGGTGTGAAAACATAATAAAAATGTTGTTTTTTTCAAAAACAGAAAAGACGTAAGGCCAAATTGTGATACTGTGGAGTACAGCACCCTTGATTAGGAATGACATGTTTTTTTTCATATTCTGTGTATGACACACAATCTGTCCTTTCACTGCCTGTTTCAGGAAGTATTTGTTGGTTGACCCCTCTGAAAAAGAAGAAAAAGTGATGGATGGAAAGATGGTGATAGGGATGAACAAACACAGGGAAATCTGCACACTCCAGGTGACGGGTCAGAATCTGCTACTCAAAGATCAGGTACGTGCTTGTTGTTGTTCCAGACAGCAGCCCATGGTCAGGGAGAGCTGCCAATTGTTATGGATTTTTCGTATTTAGTAGGGAAATCAGCCTCAAAATACGGAAGTAGGGAAACTTCGAAACAGTACAGACTTTCATAAAATCGTCGATGATAGGCTTTCCGCCGTTCTCTGACCAACAGAATCAAAAGATTCTATTTTTTAAGTATGCGAATATCAAAAACTACGATGGAAGCGGAAGTGAATTTCTTTCTTAATGTTAACATCTGAGCAGTAGGCCAGGGCATTATTCGTTTACACCCCATCCCGACTAATTAAGTACATAGTTTTCTAAAAGTCCCAGCAACCAAATAAATGAATTGTTTGGGGGAGGGGGGGGGGGGGTTGTTAAAATTGGGAGTGAAGAAACTGTCGATGGACGTACGAAATTGGAGTTACAGAGCTTATTAAAATAGTATAAGTTTTAATAGTGATCACTCCACAAATTTTAAGTGTTAGATGGTATCAAATGTGCGTGAATTTATGCTGCATGAAAAAGTACTGGAACTTACTGAAAAAGTAGGGAAAAGCACTGTAAATTAGCATTGGAGTACTGATATGCTCTTTCATGGTAAGGCAGCTCTGGTCAGGGAGAGAAGTGATTGTTTTAGACAGGTCGGCTTCTTGGACAGTGTCGTTATAATGTAGAAAAAAATACAGTTGGGAAATGATCATGTCGTCACCCATAACACGTACTAACATGACAAACGTTTTGGCAAGATCTGAGTTACAATCACTAAACAAGTACTTAACCTATACTACCGTAAGCTGACAAAACTTCTTTTTTCATTTTTGTGCCAAAATTTGTTATTTGCTTAATAGATAGCCTCAGCATCTAACCTACTTGTGTGAAAAAATAAATATGAGATTTGGACTAGTTTTTTTTTATAAATTCGAATTCCAAATTTCAGAAGAATGCGGTTTTTCAATGGTTACGCTGATAATAAAACATTTTTCTCGAAACCGTTATGAATTTAAAAAATAAAAAAGTGTTTTGTCAGCTTATGGCAGTATACTCTGTCTTCTCTGGTATCGATAGCATTAACTGTTATTCGTGTTTTTTTAAACTAGCGTATCCGCCATTTTGCAGAAAACTGACTCCAAGTAGTAACTTCAAACTGCTCTCTTGACAAACTAGTGAAATGTGAGTGTTTGAATCAACCTGTTGTAAAGTCACCAATTGACAGGCTCATATTTAGTAAGTTGCTCACTTGTCTGTTAAAACTTTCCCTTTTGTCGTTTTATTTCAGGTCCTTCGGTGCTCAAGCATCGCGGTAACCAAGGTAACCAAAACTACAGAACTGATTGTACAGGCCTTGGAAAATGACAAACAGGCCAGGTGAGTGTGTCTGGGTGGTTTGATTCCTCGGTGCTCAACGATTGTTCATATTTATTGTTCTAAGCTTAGATGTGTATTGCTCTTAAGAGTATGTATCTATATAACTCCAAACGTCTTGTAATGAAATTCCTGCATGTGGTTGAATGATGCATCTGATGATATATGTACATTTTCTCCGCTTTACTTCTCTTTTCATATTGAATTTTAATGAGAGTAATATGTAATTTAAATTTTTTATGTATACCTGCATGTGTTTTTACGGTCCTGTACAGCCAAGAAAAATTTCCCTCCGGGATAATAAAATGTTATCTTATCATATCTTATCTCTTATCTTATCTAACTTGATGGCTATAGGGAGAGAATACCGGTGTCAGTGATGTAAGGGTTAGGCTCTTTGCTGTCACATACAGGAGATCTGAGTTCAATTCCTGAGTGGGGAGAAATTTTTAGCAGGTATCTTCGTCTTTCTGCTGGGGTCCCTCTCAGCCCGCGTTGACCCCATCGGGCAGAGTCGGAAGTCCGCCTCCCAAATGATCTAAATTATAAAATTGTGTCCATAAGGGAGTAAAAATACTTACATTTAAAAGGAAAAATGAAGGAGGGCAATATATAACTGGTTTAAATCCTGTTGTTGGTTGTTGTGTGATTGGGCTCTTGTAGTGCTTTCAGTTTTGGAAAGAACCATGATTTTTTCTGTTATATTAATATCTTTGCTAGGTAGAAGAGATTATTAAGTTTCTACTGTTTTAATTTCTTAGGTAGACACATGTCTCTGTTGATTATGATTAGCTTTTTTCCCTGCACTGAATATCCCTTATTGTGTCTTCCCTATCAAACATCTGTCATCCTTGTCTTTTATCTTTCTTTCTTTTTATGTTGTTCTTTAATAACATGTCTAATCTTCGACACTTATGTGGCCCATTGGCTTTGCAGGTGCATTTTAAAAAATTATTAATATTATTTTTATTATTATTATTATTTTTATAATTATTATTATTAATACTTTTGAAAAACTAAACAAACTTGTGTGTACTGAAACAAAAGAAACTAATCTGTCTATCTTTCTCTCTCTGTGCCTGTGTCAGATTACGAGGGGAAAAACATGGGTTTGCCGAGCAGATCTCCAGCGAGAAAGTAACGTCAAACCATTGGCGAGAGACGCAGGTGAAGGTGAAAGAGGAAGTGATGTCGGCCAGCGGAGGGTCTGGGGCGGAGTCTGAGGATGTTGATAGTGACATGGAGGCAGGAAGTGGAGACTCGCAGACTGACGCAGCAAGGTGAGTACAGTGGAACTCGGATTCAACGAGATGAGATAGATTCCCCGTTTTTATTCTTTTTTAAAATCAATCAAAATAACCCGGATTCAACGAGCACTTCAGCGAGCTCAGATTCAATGAGGTCGCTTCCAGGGTGAACAGACGTGACTTCGCTCTTTTTTTCCCCGCAATGAACTTTATCTATTCCCGGAAACCATCCATTCCACCTGCATCGTGAACCGTTATACACTTAGCCGATTGCATGCGACCAACCAGCGGCCTTTTTCATACCAACACATGCGTTGTTGGCACACGCACGTGTCTACTCTGGCGTGTGTCGGGGTCGGATGGGCGGCCTGCACACCCATGGCTGTGTGTGCGTGTCGGGGAGGGGAGGGGGGGGCACTAGCTGTCCGAGCGATGAACGTCGCAGATACAAACACGTCACAGTCTTTTTTTCTCCTCGGCAACTGATCATTATTACAATGATAAGCTAGTCTTGGCGTAGATCTACGTAATGAATTGTGCGCTGGTCTATGGAATCAAAAGTTGCCGTACGCTAGGAACTTCACAGCAACACAACTTTTTGGTTAAAGAATCGAGATGACACGGGCGTGTGCATTTGAACGAATCGGTCTTTTATTTATTTTTTTTTGGACAGCTCATATTATGGAGGCATTTCAGGCAGTACTTGTGACTTCTCTTTATACGTTACTTGCTCAGTGCCTCTAATTATCTACACAAAACCTCATGTTTGCTATAACGAACGCTCGGATTCAACGAGGTTTTAGGCCAGGCCCGGCAACCTCGTTGAATCCGAGTTCTACTGTACATCGGTGCAGAGCTACGTCTTTCACTTGTGTCCGAACCTGTGTTTGATTTTCAAGGGAAGGGGGGCGGGGGGATTTTTATAGACTATCTCAGTCTCTTTTGCTGAGATGTTGTTTCCCTTTTCAGTCTGGGTTGACCATGACAAGCCCGCCTCCTAAATGGTCTGGATTGTGTCTATGGGGACAAAATTTTCTACATTTATTTATAAAAAGAGAAATTTAATATCGGTAACTGCTATAACTACTTGTCATATTGAGTCGTTTGAGATTGCTTCCCTGTTGGTCCTTCTTCTCTTCTCCCCTTTGGTTGTTCCCGTCTGTCTGTTTGTCTTGTTCTTCCCCTATACCAGGTGGCTGTTATTGTGCCTATGTGCTTCTCTTGACTCACTGCAAACACCTGGTCTCAATTCACTTTGTTTTTGCTGATGGTTGGCGGGTGCTCTGGTGTCGTTTGCTTCTTCTTTCCTATCAATCATCTATTGTCTTTATCTCTTCTCCTTCTTTTTTATGTTTGTTACTCTCTTGTAACACCTCTAATCTTCTGGCGCTCATATGACCTTATGCAGTTGCGAGCGCCGTAAAACCTCTACTAAAACTAAAACTTTCTGTTTACCTGATCTTTGCAGGTTGAAGGATGTGGAGCCAAACGTTGACATCGTGGTAAGTTATTCTGGCTTTTATTTTCCCTTTATTTAGTCAAATGTGATTTTTGCAGGGGAGGTGTTGTTTCAAATGCAAAAGTGCAAAGTAATTTTTATTATGACTTCACCGTGATGCCTCACATTTGTGTGTCTCCCCCCTCCCCCCCCCCCCCACCCGTCTCCCCAGGCCCGAGGTGTGGGTGCTATAGGAGAGGGCGGAGCCAGTCGGTGGCTCGATCTGCCGAAGACGACGCAAACGTCCAAGAACAAGGGCAAGCTGAAACGTTCACATCCAGAGGAGACGGAGGTCAAACAGGAGTGTAAGATAGACACTAGTTTAGATTCTTTTTAAAGTGAAGTAGCTTTAAAAGCTGTACAAATCATGTTTAACTTCAAACAGGAGTGTAAGATGGGGACTAGATTAGATTCTTTTGTAAAGTGGAGTAGCTTCAAAAGCTGTACAAATCATGCTCAACTTCAAGTGTAGAACTGCAGCCTTCCGACATTGTGTCCTTGGGAAAGAAACTGTGCACAAATTTCCCACTTGGCTCAGTTCTAACAGACATGGACATTAAACTCAGAGGTCCCACCTCTTAAATAACCTAACAGTGTAGATAAGGGCGTTAAACCTGTACCGTTTCTCCAATTTTAAAAAATGAACTACAGTCTAGCAAGCACATAGCGACATTGACGGGATGCGGAAATCTTTTCGTTGTATACTAATCTTGCTATGTATCAAATGTATGTGTTCTGAATAAAAAAAATATACACATTTGGGATCTGAAGCTCTCTTCCCTATGTGCGTGTTTGGCTATGAGGATGCCAGACTGCACTCTTTTGTTAAGTGAGGGAGCGGCACCCCAAAAGTCCCGATTCGGATAAAATTATGGAGTTTAAGTTGTAGGCATTTTTCGCTCCTTCAGCCTCTATTACAACTATTTCATCACATAAAAAACCCCTAAAGCCTTATTTCTTCCCATACCGGAAATGTTTGTCACCACCATTTCCTCATAAAGTCGATCTTTTATTTTTCCTTATCGCCCGTTTTCTCGAAACTTGATTTTTCTATATATACTTTTTAAAATAACTCCACCATTTTTCTTCCAAACTTCATGAAATTTTCACAGAATGAAGAAATGACGTAATACTAAAACTGTGTGTGATGAATTTTTGATATATGGAATAGTTTTTAGCAGGTGGTGTTTGGAGGGTGGATTTTCGCGGATTTTTTGCAAACCTGAATACTACCTCAGGAAAAAACTCATTAAATATTTTGAAGTACGTTTAGGAAAATTTATCACATAGATTTGTAGATCTATTGTTTGCCAAGATGCGTTAAAAAAAACCCAATTTATTTCCATGAAAAAAAATGCGGTATAAATTAAATAAGACATGTCAACCAAATCCAATATGGCCGCCGTATCCATGGTACCAATTTTTTTTTCTTAAATTTGATTTCGGATTTTAAGACTCCTTACTATGTTATATGTGTGAAATTTGGTAACCTTTGATCCTCAATTAAGCGAGATAGCCTTCAGGTGTAGCCCCCCCCCTTAATGAGAGACCCGTCATTTAGGGACTGGTCGGTCTTTTGGGAGCTCAAGGTGATCTTTGAATTTCTTGCCTGAAAAAAAAGCGACAGTAATTTTTTTCATAGGTATTTTTGAGAAGCTGTCATGGTCTAGAGGTACAGTGGTCGCCTCTCATTCAATTGGTCTCTGGTTCGAAACCTGATGTAGACTTTGTTCTCTAAACGATAGTTTTGACCTTTAGGAAGAAGTTGTTCTTTAACCGACAGTTTTGACATTTCAGATGATGAGGACAGCGAGGAAGAAACACAAACAGTTCTCAACGGCGTGCAGTGAGGTCGCCCGAAGTCCTATGTTCTTTTGTTGTCAAATGTTTTTTCTTCATGTAAATAAAATTCCTGCAGAGCATTTCTCAATCTTACGATCCGGCCTTTGTTTTATTTGAAGTAAACGAGTGGATGGTTCCCAGGTGCTCTGGTGTTGTTTGCTTCTTCTTTCCTATCATCGTACATCTATCTTCTTTATCTCCCCTCCTTTTTTGTGTTGTTACTCTTGTAACACCTCTAATTTTCGGCACTTATTTGGTCTTATTTTGTTGCAAGAGGCGTAAAACACTTACCAAAATAAAGAAGTACACAAGCAGCAGCTCATGGTTCTATGGGAGACTCTGCTCACGACGCACCGGCAGGGGAATTTTAGTTGTAGCGGGGGGTTCCCCGGCAAGCGCCTTATCATGTCGGGGCCACAGAGGTCAGCTCCGAAATCAATAAAAAAAAATAAAAAGCACGACAAGTACTGTCGAACTTTTGGAACATGAACGACGTAGCATTGGTGCAGATACTCAGAAAAGATGGTGTCTGCGCGTTTAATAGGAAGCTGTAATTTTGCAACTTTATCCATTTTGGCACACAATTGGCTATGAAGTAATTCCTCCAAATACAACTTTATGTGTCTAATATAATTGAGAATATTCGCATATTTTCTCTAAAGCTTTATCAAAATTACCCTGATATCCTCTATGAAGAGGGGGCAAATGATTTTAGTGCCAGAATACAATATACAACGATGTAGGCCTAATACACGAACAGTAGGCTATCAGTTACACTCTATAAATTATTCATTATTTTTCTAAAAACACTAGATCTATGTTTTGTAAGTTGACTGAATAACAGGGATGACTTCTTGTGAGTGTATTATAAGAATAATTTCTAGCTTTTAAGTGACACTGAATCAGCACCAGGCTTTTCCAGCTTTTATTTTTGTTTCTATAAACCATTTGCAATAACTGACAATGTTCTGATTTCTTTATATTCATAAGTGTCCGCGCATATGTCCAACACAAAAACTAAGAATGAATGTTAGCTGTCGTTATTTTTATTCTATACAAGAAGTTCATCTCTACGCATGTATTAACACAGTTTTGTGTTTTTTTAAAATCTCATATCTTTCTTAGTTGTATGCAGGCTGCCACAAACACAGCATGATTCATGAACAAACGCAGAGTAACTTTCTCTTGTTTAACGGTAGAACAAGAGCTTACGCTGAGTGTCTTTGGTTAAAAAATGCAGATGTGCATCTTTCTTCTCTTATAACTTGACTATTACATGTACAACTCGCGCAGATTTAAGATTTCTCATGGTAAAAGACATGATATTGGTAGTCAGTTTAACACAGATTTTTGAGAGATCTGTCCTGCCTTTTTAAAATAAACAATAATTTATTCATACGTATGTAACTGAAATAGGACAAATTGGTGACTCTACAATACTTATCTAGAACAAAAACTACGCACAGAAATTAACCATTCTAACGCATAATAAATCTCAATACATTGAGCTTTTAGTACATGCACGTAATGGTTTGCTGTGTGGAATGGAGAAGAAGGTATATCGTTTTAAACATAGCCTAAAATGCGAACTTCCTAACCGACAGCGGCAAAGTCGCTTCAGGACTCGTTAACCCCGTGACCCCGAGCGGGGGAGCTCTGGCGGGCTGCTGAGTCACGCTAACTAAAAGTAACAGAATCGGGCGAAAAGTGACGCCGTGTGCTCAACACAAAATTCTTTACCAAATCACTGTTTTTGCCTTGTGGGTTGCTGGCGGGTGCTCTGGTGTGGTTAGCTCCTTTCCTATCAAACATCTATCGTCTCTACTTCCCCTCCTTCTTCTTTTTTGTATTTGTTACTCTCTTGTAACACCTCTAACTCTAATCTTCGGCACTTATATGGCCTTATTGTCTTGCAAGTGCTGTAAAGTAAAACTTACTAAAACTAAACTATTGACCAAATCCCTGTTTCTTTTTGCTTTTTTTTTCTGTCTGTCTATTCTGTGCATAACGACTTCCTTTACCTCAAAGAAATTTTCTGGTTCCATGAAATTTGTGTTGTCTGAGTTTTACTGTATTTTGTTGTTCTCTTGCCTTCATCAAATTAGTGTGGGTGGTTGGAGGGTGCTCTGTTGGGTTTTGCTCCTTCTTTCCTATCAAATATCTATCGTCTTTACCTCTCCTCCTTTTTTGTGTTTGTTACTCTCTTGTAACATCTCTAATCTTCGGCACTTATATATGACCTTTTTGTGTTGCAAGTGCCGTAAAACTATTTCGAAAACGATCTTATAAATCAAATTACTGCCCTGGGGTTTGGCGGGTGATCTGTTGGGTTTAGCTCTTTCTTTCCTATCAATCATCTGTCGTCTGCTTCTCTCCTCCTTTTTTTGTGTGTTTGTGTCACTCTTTAGTTACGGATTGCTCAAATTCGTTAGAACTGGCCTCGGTATTTCAAGGGATATCGTACAAAGATAAAGAAGGGAAAAAAATAGGACCACAAGCACAGTTTGACCGATGTGTGATTTCGAGTCTTCTGTGTTCGGCCTATCCGTGTTATACTGTAAATAGTACTCTCTAGACCACCTAATCTTCAGCGCTTAAATGTCAGGCATTGTGGTGAAATCAGGCGCTCGTCAAAATAATTAAATCGAACGAATCAGCATTTTTGGCCAGTTTGGATTTTTTTCTCTTCAAATTTTTGTTTTTTGGCTCAACACCTTGTATTTCCATTCAGAAGCATTCTTATGTGTGGATTTTGTGGAAAAATGTTGATTAACGGCATGAAAAATGTAAATTTGCAGTTTCGAAGGACTCGAGCTATGGAAGTCACCAGACTTTGGTGGTCATTTTCTCGCAAATTTTACTTCTGAAACCAGACGATATCAACTCCTTCAATAGTAAATACATGTATGTCGACTTCTATTCAAGATAAATGGGTTTTTTCTCATCAAATGCAAGGCAAATGAATAACCTTTCAGATGATACCAATAACTCTATATTATATCCAAAAAGTTAAGAGTGCCTGATTCTACCGCGTTATGACACATAATCAGCAGTGGCGTTGAGAAAAATACGCCAACTTTGCATGAAATTTTTTAGGTGTGTGCTGTCAATCCCCTTTAATTTTTTAAAATCTGCTTTAGACTAACATCAAAGAAAACGTATCGGAAGTCGGAACCTTAGTTTGCAGTGACCTTTATGAGCGGGCTTTTACTTTTTGATTCTGTTGTTCATTCAATTTTTAGACTCGTATGCACAGATCGGAGAATATTAAACAGGGCATTTCATTTTTCCTTGTTTTAACCGCAGTCAGACGAGAGCAACCTAGCTATAGTCTTGAACTGTTTCTGTCTTCTTGAGCTAATTATCGATCAGTACCATACGTTTATTTTGTTGGGGTTTTTATTTTCGTTTGTTTATTCATATATTATTTATTACCATGTGTTTTTATGCCTCAGTCGACATAATTTAGATCTTTCAAAAGTCCTGCTTTCGATTCTGCCTGTCCGGGCCAGCCCAGGCTGAGAGGAATACAATAACCCAACAGAAGGACCGAGATAGACCGACTCTTTTTGAATCTACCCCACTCGGGCATCAAACGCGGGTCTCCTGTGTGCGACAGCGAAGAGCCTAGCCGCTACACAACCGACGCCGGTCCTACATCTCTGTGATGTCATCCGACAACGTCTGGATGCCAGGAAAGTGAGACAGACCTCTTGATATACAGCACACACGCCTTCTCAAAAGCGCGGGTGGTGAGGTGGGGGTTCTAGTCGGCTGTTTTTTTGTTTGTTTTTGTTTTTGTTTTGTTTTTCTTATTTACTTATGTCAATAGAAATGCTGACTAATTACAAGACCGAGGCCTTTGTTGATCAAATCTGTGGTTACCTGACGAGGAATAACAAGACAAATTACTCAGAGGTGTGCACCTAACGGCATGATTATTCCCGATCGACAAATGTAGACCAAGCGCAAGACACAAATATAAAGAAAGGCAAACGACCTAATTTTCACCCCCAAAAAATCTATTTTTAAAAATCTATTAAATGTAACAGGTCTCCCGAACATGCACCAAAAAGCTGCCGTCTGTATTACACGGGTCAATATTTCCACACCCCAGACCAGCTGTTGCACCCGATCATCACCCGTCCACCGATGCACAAAATTGTTTGCTGTCTGGGAAAAAAAACACCGTAATAAACCCTAATTGTCACCCTGTTCTCCAAAAAATGGGAATATCTTATAACCAAGACATTTAATGGATGTGAGATTGTCAGTCCTCATTGACGAGCAAGCCAATTAACATTTTTGTTCGTTTTTCTGTTGATAAATGATCACAAAGAAGTCGTACAGATGCTTCAAGATCTTTGTCTTAAATTTAAACAGAGCCTACACGTTCAGTTTCCAGTCCAGTATACTGTCTTTTTAGTTTTAGCAAGTGTTTTACGGCACTTTCAACACAATAAGGTTTAATAAGTGCAGCTATAGGTGTTACAAGAAAGGAGGGGAGATCAGGACGATAGATGTTTGAAAGGAAAGAAGAAGCAAACCACACTAGAGCACCCGCCAATCACCCACGTATACATGTACTGTCTTTGCTAAAAGTTAGTTAGATTTAAAGAGGTCGCATTGACAGAGAGAGAGAGAGAGAAGAACCCATACGCCCTCTAAAGACACACGACAAGAGACTCGTGACAAGAGACACACGACAAGAGACACACGGGTCTGTCCACGAGGAACAATCCACCCATCCATGGACGACAGGCCTGTGTTCCCGCCACTCCCAGCCACCACGCACGTCTCCGGGTCCTCGTTGGTGGACAAAGCCACCTCATCAGGCGCGGGGGACAACGAGACTGCTTACGTCACTACCACGAGCTCCCCGGCGTTGCCGCCACCGCTAACAGATGTGTTCAGTTTCGAGGTGTGGACCATTTTCCAGGTGACCAACTACGTGGTTATCTGTGGTCTCCTCAGTCTGTTCGGCGTGGCGTCAAACATCATCAACATTGTGGTGTTTGCCAAGCAAGGTTTTCAGGACAGCATGAACATTAGTCTGATGGGTGAGATGGTAGTAGTAATCATCATCATCAGCAGCAGCAGCAGCAGCAGCATAGATTGTATATTTTGTATATCGCACATCCCCTCTCAATCGCAAGCTCTCTGCGCTTTACACTATATTATTATTATTATTATTCCCAGCAGACCTTATTATTATTATTATTATTATTATTATTATTGCCCCAGCAGACAATAAAACACCCAGAAACATCCACAGCTCCCGGAAAGCATACAGTGCTAGCAACTGATTTGATTAAGCGCTCAAACACTCACAAACTGACAAAATCTTTCACTGTACCGTAGCCATCTCTGTTTAAGTAAGACAGACTAAGAAAAGTTTTTGGGCACTTGCAACACAATTAGGTCATACACGCGCCGTAGAAAAGAGGCGTTACAAGAGGCGTTACAAGAGGTGTAACGAACACAAAAAAAGACGAAGGAGAGATAAGAACGGTAGATATGTGATAGGAAAGAACGAGTAGACCACGCCAGAGCATCCGCCAATCACCTACTCGGTAGATTTCTAGAATTAAATACATTTCGTCGCCATTATTCAGCACTGTCGTAGGTAGGAATAAAAAAAGAAGAACATTGATCGTGCTGAAGAGTTAGATGAGTACATCGACTGCCTAATAATGTAGTCTCATCCGTCTTCTTATACATTAACAGGTTTAGCGGCAAATTAAGCACTTTGTATGAAAATACTGTCCTGAGCCAAACAGAACTTACAGGCGCTCATATGACCTTATTATGCAGTTGCGAGCGTCGTAAAAACTATACTAAAATAAAACAAAACAAAAACAATTTATTTTGCTTCTCCTGAAAATCTTGGAGTACTTTAACATACGACAATCATGAATAACGACGAGTTATCCTCAACAAAGCAAAAACTCGTGTTGTGTCGCAAAGACACGTACACAAACATTTTCGGGTGCCCACATTTGGGAAATGTAACAGGGGGTGCCCACATTTGGGAAATGTAACAAGGGGTGCCCACATAATTTATAAGGGAAATGTAAAGACCTGAGTGTGAGAAAACAAATAATGTATAGTACATGTATAGACCTAATCATCACATTACCAGCATTGTAACCGTTGACTGTGCTCTCTCTCTCTCTCTCTCTCTCTCTCTCTCTCTCTCTCTCTCTCTCTCTCCCTCCCCTTCGATCGCACCCTCACAACCGGCGCCTGTGGTGTAGCAGTTAAGCATTTCGCCGTCGCACGCAGAAAACCTGAGTTTGAATCTTGTATGAGGCGAATGTCTATCGGTGGTCTCCGTCTTTCTGTCGGAATGTTGTATCCCGCTCACTGGTTGGGCCCTGACAGGCAGGGGCGAAGAATGCCGGCAAAATATTTTAGTTTAGTAGAGATTTTAAGGCGCTCGCAACTGCATAAGTTCATAATATGAGCACCAGCTGGTGGATGTCAACAGAGAAGTCCTTACACTTAGGGCCTACTGGGAATCAGGCTTACTCTGCTCACCTCTCTAGCTTCAACAACTCAAAGTCTGCTTCGGCTATCAAGGCATCCCGGAAATAGCGGGTCAGAAAAGTGTGACAAACATACAAAAGAAGTAGAGGAAAAATAACGATAGTAAGGATTAGGAAAGAAAAAGCAGCAGTTCCCTGCTGCAGTTCAAGCGCGGTTATGAGCATGTCATTCATGAATCAGCCCATTTACAATTACAATTCTACTGTGCATAAGAATATGGTTAAAGTACCCCCACCCCCCTTTGGAAATGGCCTAAAGACACTTCAGTCATACTGTAGCAGAGTTGAAGCTAGAGAGGTGATCAGAGTAATCTTGATTCCCTGTAAAAAAAACTTCTCTATTGACATCCACCCCTTGGCGCTCATAATTTTTATGACCATAAGCAGTTACGAGCGCCGTAAAACCTTACTGAAACTAAACAACATCAGGAAAATTCCGAGCCCACCAGTTTCTGTCAGCTGAACGTTATATGTTCGTGCTTTATGCTACTGTTCTTTTTCCAGAGCCTGTCTCCTGAAAACTAAGAGTGTCTCGACACGGTAAAATCAGGCGCTCGTCGACTTATGGAGAATTTTATTGGTACAGTCTTAATAAAGCTTGTTCATTTGTATTGCTTTGGGGGAATGTAGAGTTATTGGTACAATCTTAATAAAGCTGTTTCATATTTGTCTTACTTTCGATTAACCAAAAAAAACCTACCCCAACTATCTTAAATAGAAGAAGTCGAGTTGCACGGCATGGTATCAGTGTGGGGGTCGCCTAGTGTCAGAGGTAAAATTTGTGAGAAACTAGTTGTCATAGTTTGAGTGGCTTCCAAAGCTTGAGTGTCCTTGCAAACTGAGAATTTATATCTTTACGCTTTTGATTTAGATCTAGGTTTTTCCTTATAATCCACACAGAAATGTGCTTTCCTGTGGATATGAAAGGTGCTACCCCCCCCCCCCCCCCCAAAAAAAAAAGATGACAAAGAAAAAAATAATTAAATAATAATGACAATAATTATAATGATAATAATAGTAATACAAATAACAATAATTTTTTAATGATTACAAAAGTAATCACAACGTGCCTACCTCCAAAAATTTGATGGCAATAAGGCTAGAGGGCGACCGAGAAAGACCTGGATAGATGGAGTCAGGGAAACATTAAACACCCACGGCATCCCCCTGACCCAAGCTCTCCGGCTGGCGACAGAGAGACGTCTCTTTCTTCCCGCGACACACAAAAAGGTATAAGAGGCGGATAAAAGTAAAGACAAAAGTTGTCAGTTTCTTCTGTTTATTTTTCACGAGCGCCTGATTCCACCACGATATACCTTATATCAAATGCCTAGCCAGTGAAGTACTGATTGTAACCCCGCCCTGTCCATTATCTCTGCCCCCACCCCACTCCTCCCTCCCCCTCCCCACTCCTCCTTCCCCCTCCTAATCCAGGTCTAGCCGGTATTGATTGTTAACCCGCTCTGTCCACTGTCGCTGCACACACCCTCCTCCTACTCTTCCCTCTCCCTTCCCCCCTCCTAATCCAGGCTTAGCCGGTACAGATTATAACCCTATAACCCCGCTCCGTCTACTGTCTCCCCCTTCCCCCCCCCCCTCCAGGCCTGGCGGTGTCTGACCTGTGCTCCCTGATCACCATGCTGTGGCTGAGTTTCTTCATCCTGAACCCTCTCTTCATCGGCCTGGGTCTGCCCTTTGACGCTATGGACGTGATGTATCTTACGGGGGCTGTGCCACACGTCTTGTTCGGCAAGATCACCAGCTTCATCACCGCCTTCATCACCTTCGAGCGCTGTCTCTGCATCGCCCTGCCGCTCAAGGTCAAGATGATCATCACCCCGCTGAGGACGAAGATCATCATCGTCTCCATCTACGTCCTCATGATCTGTTTCCCTACTCCGTTTTACGCCGGGATAAGGCTGGGCTGGGAGTTGGACGCCTTCCGGAATGAGACGATTTTACAGATCTCGTACGTGCCCGGGAGAGTGAGCATGGAAGCAGTCACCTTTTTCATCTACGGCGTCGTTTTTTCTACCGCGTCTTTCGTCTTCGTCATCTTCTGCACCGTCATTCTGGTCGTCAAACTCAACAGTAAAACAAAATGGCGGCAGACCACGGCAGCGAAGGGGGTCAAGGCGGCGGATGGGGCTGGACTCAAAGATAAAAAGGTGGTGAAGATGGTGACTTTAATCTCCACAATTTTCATCGTTTGTTTCATGCCTCCCACCTTCTTCTTTTTCGCCATGACTCTAGAACCCGAGTTCCGCTTCGATGGCGTCTACAAGAACATCTATATGTCCGTGTGGTCCTTCTCCTTTGTCACAGAAACCATCAACTCTAGTGTGAACATGTTCGTCTATCTCAGAATGAGTTCCAAATACCGAGCGGTGTTCATGAAAACTTTTCTCAACAGGGAGGAAAAATAACGTTCTCCACAGAGGGGGAAAAATAACAAACATCCTCCACAGAGAGGAAAAGAACTGACCCACACAATCAGAATCTTTGATTTGTCACGTTAAAACAGAAATAATAGTTTAACACTAGCAGATGCCTGCAATGGGTAAGGGATGGGGGTGGGTGAAATAACTGATGAAAAGTTAAAATGGGGGGTTGTTAGATATGTATCAATATCAGTGGCTCCTCATGTTTCTCATAAACATTATTTTGTACATCATGGACCTTAGCATTGCTTTTGTCTTCACCTGTGTGTTCCCTACCAACACAGCGTTTATTGTGTCAATGTTATTTCTGTGAAAAGTGAAATAGTGAAATGGTATGGTTTTAACGCCCCTATCAACATTATTACGTTATTTAAGGGGTGGGACCTCCTACTGTCTCCGATAGGACCGAGCCAAGTGGGAAGTTCGTGTAAAGTGCCTTTCCCAAGGACACAGCGTCGGACCGAGCTGAAGTTCGAACCCCCGAACCCACAATCTCACGATTACGAGTCAGGTAGCCTAACCACTAGGCTACCGACAATGTCCTTCTGTTTACAACAACGTTCCTTTCAAACACAATACAGTATTACACTTGTCTATTGCCCATGGTATATATGTAATGTCGTTGTGTTCTTTGTGAAGGTACAATGTAATTAAATGGGTTGTTGGCAGACGCCACTGGTAGGCTATTCTTCTCTACTATCACTCTGTTTATGTCGGTCTTACTATGTCGATGTGCTTCTCTTTATTCAAAAAAAAAAAACCCATAAAAAGCAGGTAATCAATTACCCCATCCCTTGTAACCTGCCAGACTGTAAACCAGTGTAATGCCATTTCTACACCTAGCTTTTTTTTTTAACCAGACCCGCCTGGGTTGAGTTTGAGCGCTGTTGGTAAAAGTGACAACTCACCAAAGAACACTTCTAGGGACACAAAGGCACTTGGTATGAGCACATCGTCCCTTGGGGTTTTTCCATTATAACAAATTTACTGTCTCGTGGAACGGTCATATAGTTATTGGGCGATAGTGTCAGTGTCATTAGTTTTCAGTTTTTGTAAGGTTTTACGGCGCTCGCAACTGCAGAAGAGCGCTAAGGGGGGGAGTGGATGTCAACAGGGAGGACTAAACGGGGAATCAAGCCTACTCTTGTCACCTCTCTAGCCTCAACAGTACAAAGTCTGCTTCGACTATCAAGGTACCCTGGAAATTGCAGTTCACAAGAGTGTGACAAAAATACAAAAGAAGCAGGCATAGAGGCAAAAAATGACGATAGTGGGGATTTGGAAAAAAAAGCAGCATCAGTATCGTTAGTACGACAAACTTCCGGAGGGACTTCCGTAACGAGCGACCACCCCAACAAACACAATAAAAAAGACCTAACCCTTACTCTTTCCCCAACTTTAACCCCTACCCCAAATCCTAACCCTCTATTCTCATCATCATCCGGTGCCTTGCCGACTGGCGTGGGCGATCATGGACCTCCACTTCCATCTGTCTTTCGAAGCAGCAATGGTGTCTGTTGTTCTTGCTGCTCCCAGCCATGTTGTCATCTTGTCCAGTATCTTTTCCCTGTCTGCCTCTACCTCTCTTTCCATCAAACTTTCCTGTTGTTACAATGTTCTCTAATGCTTCTTTCCGCATTGTGTGTCCGAAAAAATTTGCCTGTCGTTTACTCTATTCTACTGGTTACATATACTCTGCTTCATAGTGGTTCCTCGTTACGGAATTCCTCCCAAACTTCCAAAACTGTTCATAAGGATGATCAGGGTAGTCCACCTCTGCCGCTCCTCACCTTCACGGAGAAAGGAACAGGAGTTCGCTATGGGTGGGGATGCTACCCCCATTATTTGCAAATGGCGACACTGTTTTGCTTTCTTCACAAACATTTCCAGACTTCTTTGATTTAACGATGATCTCTTCGCAACAGAAAATTCTGGACAATTTTTGGTCAGGTGTCAAGTCAAGTTCACAACATACACTATACACCGAAATATGCTGGACCGCCAGGTTTTCTTTGATTTGGTCAGCTGTGTTATTTATTTAGAAGATATGCTCAACTGATCTATGTTTAAAAAATAATAGGTACTTGTATTTAATTTCCTTTCGGTATATTATACCCTTTTTTCGGATTAACCGTGTTTGGTACAGGTCTCTACAAAATATTATTATAAGTAACTAATACCACTCTCTGTTCCAATTGTAGCTTTTAGTTTTTGTTTTTAGCAAGTTTTACGGCACTTGCAACACAATAAGATCATCATATAAGTGTCGAAGATTAGAGGTGTTACAATTACAAAAGAGTAACAAGCAAAAAATAAAAATAAAAAGGAGGAGAGATAAGAACGATAGAAGTCTGATAGGAAAGAAGGAGCACACCACACCAGAGAACCCGTCAACCATCCGCATTCCAATTGCAATGGAGCATCGTTTGAGGATTATGAAAACAAAAACACCTTCATTTGCCATTCTTTCATTCCACATCATTCCTTCTGATACAGTTCAGAAAGCAGGAAGTTATTTAGTTTCGGACAGTTTTACGGCACTTGTAACACAAATTATGTGAGCCGATCTGAGGAAAACAGGAATATATCGCTAAACCTTGATCCAAGATGTCAGCAAAAATAGTCGTTGCGGTCAATTCTGGTCAGTTTTGAATTACACATACCAGGGGTTTTCCCCAACCATTTTAGAAAATAATTCAAGAGCTGTTTCTTGTAAAAGCTACTATAAAATATTTTTTCCTCAATTTATTTTCCATTAACATTCAAATATGAAAAAAGGAATAATGATGTTACTTTGAACGCCCTTTTTCTCAGTTCTTATTTTTCCACATTTTGTTACTTCAAAATGCAATATCTCATCTTCTAGAAATGATAAGCCAAAATGAAAAGTTTTACGTGCAAAATAATCAGAAAGATCTCCGTTTTTCAGAAAAGCACAAAAATTAAAAAGGGCACAAAGGTAACATGTAATATGTACCCCTACTCATGTGGAGATTCTGATGTCTCGACAGTCGTTGGATGAAACCTTCAAGCTTACACTTAAATGAGGGGGCAGGATGGTGTTGCTGTCTCAAAATGAGCAATTTGTAGGCTAGTTTACTGTAAGTCGTTTATTTAAGTGATCCAGTGGAAGCACTCGAGAGCGCTTTTTCCAGATAGGGCCCAAAGATGAAACGTTTTTTCTCATAACTGGATCCAAATTATTTTTTTAAATATTTCTGTTTGGTCGCTGGCCTGTAGAAGGGCCAACCAAAGTTTCGAATAAAGGAGCTTGATTTTTTTTCAAACGCTTACAGAAACTTTAATCTTTTGATCCTTATTAACAAAGAAAAATCTTAAAATAAATAAATAATGCTTCTTGCTGCACTCCCCAGGAACAGTCTGAGGTCTTGTGTTGCACTCCGGCACACAACAAAACGTCTTCATACACATAGCGTATAACTTTTTACGAGGAGCTTCAACATGGAGCAGCGAGCAAGCAAATTGGTGCAGACATTTGTTTGAAACCTTTCAGTTGTACATGTATTATACCCACGGCCTTACAGAACTTCATAAAAGATCGAGTAAGAAGAGAGGGGGGTCTTTTGTTTTAGAAGAGGTTTTAGGGCGCTCGCAACTACATAAGGTCACATGAGAGGAAGGGGGTGGATGTCAACAGAGACGTCCCAACAGGGAATCAGGCTTACTCTACTCACCTTCTAGCCTCAAAGGCACAAATTCTGCTTGGGGGTCTTTCATCCAGCTGGCACTGGGATTGGGGTGGGGGCGGTCTAAGTGTCCTATCCCCTGTCACTGAATGTGATGTGGTTGACCATCTTCTTACAGCGTCTGAGTGGAGCTTCCCTTTTGACGCTAAACCCTATTACTGTCAGTGGTAAACTTGCACTGTGTCAGGGGAAAGTCTTAAGAACAAGGGTGCACCTTTAGATAATACGTCTAGCTGGGGCCCCTTTCGATGAAAGGAATGATCGGTGCTTTAATATCAACTAAAAGTCATTGACCTAATATTATTTACACTCTACTGGAATGGGGCAATAAATGTTAAGAGATGAAAAAAAAATTATGGAAAAGGTCTAGATCTATACTCTCAAAACAAAATGCGCCTTCGCAAAATATCACTTCCGGATTTTCTAAAATTACAGAGACAGAAGTGTCGGCCTACAAAAGCGATCGGCGAAGTAAAGAAATTTAGCTTTTTGCAGCAAAACTGTCTCAAAACTGAAAACACCAAGGGCGTCATGCTCTGGAGAATATTTTAAAGAATCTTTTGGCGAAAACCGTATGTCGATCGATTAAAAAGCCTTTTGAATAGCAAAATTCGGCCACCACAAATAGATAATAGAAGAGATAATAGATAGCATTTGTATAGCGCATGCCCTTCACAATCTATACCATTAAAAAAAAATTAGTATATATTACGATAGATACAAAGACCAGAAAACTATAAGCCTACATATTTCGAAAGGTCTTTGAAAAAAAGCTATAAGATCGCTGAAAGTGCCGGAAATATCGGGAACTGCAGAGGACCCGACGAAGCCATTTTCACTGACTTACACAGTTGCGGCTGTCGCAGTTCTAAAATAACGGACAATATTGTTTGTTTCTCTGGCGTAAAAAGAGTTCTAATAACTACAGGAGGCCATTCATTCTCAAATTAGCGCACCTTCGTTCAGCGTGTGTATTTTCAGGGTTTGTGCCTTTTAAATGGTCGAAATTGTGTCAATGGGGAAGTAAAAATACATTGATCGTGGTTTTGGTTGTTGTGTGATTGGACTCTTGTAGTGCTTTCAGTTTTGGAAAAAACAAGTTTTTTAAAATTATATTAATATCTTTGCTAGGTAGAAGAGATGACTAAGTTTCTACTGTTTTAATTTCTTAGGTAGACACATGTCTCTGTTGATTATGATTAGATTTTTCCCCTGCACTAAGTAACCCTTATTGCGTCTTTCATACCAAACATCTACAGTCCTTATCTTTTCTCGTTCTTATATTTGTATTTTGTACTTTAGTAATATGTCAAATCTTCGGCACTTATGTGGCCCATTGGTTTTGCAAGTGCCATTTAAAAACGTATTGTTATTATTATTACAACTTTAAAAAACAACTAAACTAACTGCTGTGCACGTAAACAAAAGAAACAAATCTATCTATATTTCTCTCGTTGTGCCTGTTTCAGATTACGTGGGGAAAAACACGGGTTTGCCGAGCAGATCTCCAGCGAGAAATTAACGTCAAACCACTGGCGAGGACGCAGGTGGAGGTGAAAGAGGAAGTGATGTCAGCCAGCGGAGGGTCTGAGGCGGAGTCTGAGGACGCTGGCAGTGACATGGAGGCAGGAAGTGGAGACTCGCAGACTGACGAAACAAGGTGAGTACGTCGGTACAGAGCTACGTTTTTCACATGTGTGTGAACCTGTGTTTGATTTTCAAGGGAGGAAAGGGGGGGGGGGAGATTTTTATAGACTATCTTGGTCTTTTTTGCTGAGATGCTGTATCCTTTTCAGTCTGGGTTGACTATGACAAGCCCGCCTCCTAAATGATCTGAATTGTACCCAAGGGGACAAACGTTTCAACATTTATAAAAAGAAGAAATTTAGTATCGGTTTAGTAAAGCTGTCTTTGTGCTCTTTAGGCTAGAGAGGTGATCAGAGTACGCCTGATTCCCCGTTTGGACATCTCAGTTGACATCCACCCCATGGCGCTCATATAACCTTAAGCAGTTGCGGGCGCCGTAAAACCTTATAAAAACTAAAAACTAACGAAATTGACCCTGGCACTAAGTAGCACTCAATAACAATATGACCGGTCCACGAGACAGTAAATTTGTTATAATGGAAAAACCCCAAGGGACGATGTGCTCATACCAAGTGCCTTTGTGTCCCTAGAAGTGTTCTTTGGTGAGTTGTCACTTTTACCAACAGCGCTCAAACTCAACCCAGGGGGGTCTAGTGAAAAAAAAACTAGGTGTAGAAATGACATTGACACTGGTTTACAGTCTGACAAGTAACGAGGGATGGGGTAATTTCCTGAGGGTTTTTTTTGTTGTTGTTTGTTTGTGTAAAGAGAAGCACATCGACACAATAACGGTCATATAGTGCTGGGAAAAAATAAGACAGACAGAAACAGAGGGATAGTAAAGAAGAAGGGCCTGCCAGTGGCGCCCACCAACCACCCACTTAATTACATTGTACCTTCACAAAGAACACAACGACATTACAGATATACCATGGGCAATAGACAAGTGTAATACTTTATTGTGTTTGAAAGTTGTAAACAGAAGGACATTGGCACAATAAACGCTGACTTGGTGGGGAACACCCGGGTGAAGACAAAAGCAATGCTAAGGTCAATGCTGTACAAAATAATGTTTATGAGAAACATGAAGAGCCACCGATATTGATACATCTAACGAACAACCACCTATTAAAACTTTTCATCAATCATTTCGCCCCCCCCCC